ACAACAACTCAACTTTTGGGTGAGTAGGAGGATGTGATCAGCAACATCAGCAACGGAACAGCACAACGAACTCACAGTTAACCGTCAACTGTCAACTGCACCTAAAAACACACACGCGTTGAGCAGATTGACGCACAATGGATCCCCCCTAAGTAGTACCAATATACTTAACACGCGAGAGATACTGCCGTATGCCGCCGCAGCAGCCGTCGGCCCGAGGGGGCTACCTGATGTCGTTTACTCGGCCGGGTCTCCCTCCCCACATCCCGCCGCTGCAGCCTCTCGAGCCAGTACGGCACACCTCCACTGGAGGAGGACGGGTGTGTCGTAACGCACGCAAAACCCTGGCACGCGGACCCACACCGGAAGGCGTTCCCCTCGGGGCCCCGCACCCCCTTGACCATGCAAGAGCCGGCCCCACAACCACAGCCACCCAGGTCGTCAGCCCTCGGGTGCCATCAAAACACACACGCACATACCTACCTACCTACCTACCTACCTACCTACCTACATATACATACGTGTCGTCTGTGTCTTCGGGTTATAGGCCATCTCCATCTCCACACAAAACATCAACAACAATATTATAAAAACAACAGCGATAGCGAAATCACGACGGATGAGCTAGCTCATCTGGGCCTTATTCTTTGCCTTCATCTCGATGTCGTACAGCTTCTCAGCCTGCAATGCAGTACAGTAGGTTGTAAAACAATCCGAGAAAAACACCGCTATGTTAGTCACTTCCTTTTAAAACATCCCCTATGTGGGTAGGTATTAAAAACGGTGCGCGTTGTCGTGTGATGATATACCAACAGGTGCAACGCTACGGCACATTGCTGAGAGGGATGAAACGAAGAAACACAATAGAGACAGCAGCGTTGCGATACGACCATCTTGATGTAACGCCTGCATTGCATCACTATCATCCCCCCGAGGGGGGGGTTCCGCAGAAACCCCGAATCCAATCCAACTTGATGGCCCCTCTGCCCACCCGCTTTTACAACGGCTCGAGCTACTCTTCGCATGAGGAGGTAGTCCCCTACTACCTCCTCATGCGAAGAGGAGGTGGTCCCCTCCTCCTGAAGCACACTCATTCACCCACCCGGAGACCCCCCGTGTCGCACCAAACCCGTGGCCCACACAACACGTGAAGTAAACACTTTCCCCACTCCTGCTGGAATGCTCTCTCCCCCCTCTTGACAAGGGGTGGCACAAGGGGTTTCTTTTCCTGCACTTTTATGCGACGTGTAGCCCGCCCCCTTTCCCCCCCCCCCGGCAGGTAGCGCATGGGTAACGGCTCACCTGACTGTCGTACCCCATCCCCCCCCGCCCTCCTGCGCCGGAACACCCCCCTTCCCTCCTCCTGGACCCCTT